GGCCGTGCCCGTGCCCAGCGCTGCGCCGCGGAGGAGAGGCCGAGGGAGAGGGCAGGCTGAGGGCAGCGGGGAGGGGGCAGGGCCGGCCGGAGCTCACCTGAGCTTCTGCAAGGCTGGAGGTACAGCCCGGGGATGCTTGGTTAGATAGCGGGGCACAAAGTTCCCGTTGAAGGTGGAACAGGTCCCCAGGGAGGCTGCGAAACCTCCGCGCTCAGAGATGCCTACTTGGCCGGGCAAGGGCCTGGGCAGCTCTCCGGGTTTACCTTTTTTTAACTTTAATTGTATTGAACAATATTCCCACAAGAGTTTAATTAAAATGTTAAATACTAGGAAAATATTGTATAGCCCAAGCTGAAGAGCAGCAGCGTGAATGCCACTTTGGGATACCTGTGTAATGTTTGACATGGGGGATCTGGATGCAGCTCTGTGAACTCCTGATTTTATTCTCCTGGCTTAGTTTAGTGCCAAAGGAACTTTTGAAAAGCAGAGAGCAGTGTTGAGGAAGTCCTGGGACATGCTGTAACTACACTGAAAAGTACTCCCATCTCAGGGTGTTTTTAGAATCAGACGTTGTGCCATGGGTCTTTTTTTATGACCCTAAAGATCCTAGTATCACTAAATTTTAATTTAAACAAATTAGCTTAACATCTTTCTAATTTCATTTTTATGGTACTTCTCTTTTATTGCAGAAAAGAATGGGCTTAGCAGGATGAGGTAAAATTAGTTTTGTCTCTAGTCTGTACCATGGCCCTTCTTCAGATACTCACACTTTGTACATACGCCAACAGTTGCATGCCAGCGCTGGCTTGCTTATTCTACTCTGTTGGCATTCGGTGTCTCAGATGGCTTTCAACATCTTAAATAGCCATGATCAGTCTTCTGCAAGTGCCCTACAGTCTTTAATCAGCCTGTCAATGTGCTGTACAGCTTTAGGCTCTAAATTTGCATCCAACTGATGATAGAAAATAATTGATTGGCCCAATGTTATCCAAGAAATCCAGGTGTGGCAGATCTCCCAAATCTTCCTGTCGTGTTTCCTGGAAAAACCTTGCTCTTATGGTTTATTCTGCACCTGGGCTTTGGTTCTGCATCTGGCTCCGTTTTATACTAACAGCACAGTACAAGGATAGAATGTGAAAAACCAGCAACTTTTGTTCCATAATGTCTGAGATGAATAATGGTAAAAATGGCTTGCTTCATGCTTTTGAAGACTCTGGATAGAAGTGGTATTAAAACTGGATCTTGCCCCCCCTCCCATCTAATCCAAGTGGTTTCTTACAGTAATTCATAGCTTCTCAGTTTTCTGCTGTGTTTCTTTACAGTGGTAACGGAGAGCCAGGTTCTTCACTGAGTGTTGAATTTGGCTTTCAGATACATTGGTAGATCATACATCACCATATATGTTAGTGTTATTCATTAATAATATAGATGAAAATTGGGTTACTAGGAGCCACATAAAAGGATTACGAACAGTGGATTTCCCCCATCAGTTTTACATGTTTTCTAACTGCGTTCCAACATAGTGAGTGACTTCCTTTGTTTAGTGTATTTTTTATATTAGAAATATGTGTTTCTCATAGAAAAAGATTTTTCGTAGAACACTATGAATTATTAGAATTGTAAAACCATAAGCTGAGAACATTTTAATGCTAGGTCTTGGAGAAATTTGTGCTAATAAAACGATTCTAAGCATGGTTGTTCTGCTTGTTTTCTTCAGAGTTATAGTAAACATAATTCATAGCATCAAAGGATACCACTCAAAGACGATACGTTTTCTAAATGTGGCTTTTGACAGTTCTGGAGAGTCTCTACTTGCTGGAGACCAACAAGGGAATATATATGTTTTTGACTTGAATGGAAACAGGTAAGAATATTTCTATCAAGACATTTTAATTGTCTTGACATCTGCAACATTCAGGGATATGGAACTTGTCTGGACAGCATGCCACAGGTCTGGTTTTAACCTGCAGTTTTCCATGAATATGGAAATAGGTAGTAGTTTGCTCAGAACTGGAACTACAAGCCAGTGTCTCATGTAGGATCCCTAAATATTATTTTATTAGTTTAGCTGCTCCAAAATACCAAAGGTTTGTAACTCTAAACTGAACAGACAGCAATTTCATAGAACTTAAATGATTGAATACTACCACAAGAAGTTACTCTTCGGATGGTACCGATCAATTAATAACATAAGCCATGAATTACAATAAACTAGACCTAGTATTATCGCTTGCAGAAATACATTAATCAGTCTTTTCACTTTTATACTACTGAGTTTTAAAATATTAGCACTGGGGTTTAGATTTATTATAATTAGATATGATTTATTTCCTCCTTTTGAGTTAATCTGTTTTTTTCTCTCAGTGAAATATATTAAAACTGATTAAGTTATTACTTCACTTGACATTATGAACCGAAGTTTCCTAACATAATGAGATTGTGTATTTTTAAATAGGTTCAACCTTGTTCAGCGAACAATGCAGGCTTGCACTGCTTTGGCATTTAATCTTCGCAGAAAGACAGAATTCTTGGTGGCTTTGGCAGATTACTCCATTAAGTGCTTTGATACAGGTAAGGAGAAATTTAAGGGCTTACTATTGGATTGCTATGAAAACCTATATAATGTTAGTTTTGATCTCAATTTTTTTGTAAGTTTGTTTTTTTTTTTTTTTATGGAAATCTTACTATGTATTTCATGCCATCTGTCCAAAGAAGAAAACTTTGGACCCATGTGGGTTATAGTCCTGTGGGTAAATGAGCCCTTTGCTTTGTCAAAGTTTCTTGTTCCCACTGAGTAATGCAGGTGTCTGTTTAACTGAAGTCTAGCACAGGATTGCAGTTATGTGTGTTTCCTTTTTTAAAGCAATTCTGTGTATGTTTGCTTAGAATGAGGTGCTGTATGTAAAATCAAACCAAAATGAGTTGACAGTGCATTAGTTTGCAACTGGACCAGTTATTAACTATATTTACAGTAAAATATTTGAACAAAGTGACAATATACACTAAAAGCACTGTCAGTACTTTTGAGTATGCAAGTAGATCTGTATCCTTGTTCAAAAGCGGTATTTAAAATTTTCATAGGCCACCTGTGTGTCTCTGTCCTTATTAGAAGTTAAATGGTGAAAGGCATTGACCATTCTTTGTAAATGAATCTTAACCTATCAAAATGTGCCGTTGTAATGTCTCATATCATCTGCAATTTAAGGGTTTGAGACGGATATTATCAATGAAGATTTTAATGTAACACTGTTTCCCGCTATAGAGGAAGAGTCAGAATTAAGGTTTGAAATCCTCTGTGCTTTTTCTCTTCCTTTCAACCACACTTTAGATTTTGGATGCACTTAGAGAAATCTTAATTATTCCACAGGGACCTGCATGTTTATATGGTGCGGTTTCCACATACCACGAATGAAGAATGATTTAAAATATAAATGTTATTCACATAAGTCAGTATTATGTAAACTATCCTTAGAGGTGTATTAGATAATACTTAGTTGGTGGGCTCCATCCATTGCTTTAGAAGCCATACTCAGTAATCCCGTGTCATCCTCCCATGTGACAATAGCTATAAGCACTCAATTGCCTGTAAGCACAGCAGAAAGTTTGACTATTAGGCTTTATGAGCTGCTTTATAGCCATTTCCCATCTTTGATGCCACAGCAGTAGGTCAGCTGGAACCACCCCATGGGCTGTCAAGCAAACTGACCAATGTAAATAGTGTAATTGTCACAAATACAGTTTGGTTGCTGAGGGAGGATTAGTGGTCATGCAGTCACAAGTGGGAGACAATGTAGTCAGAGGAACCATTTTCTTAGTATGCAATGCACAGCACAAAAATGTTTTGGACTCTAAAAGAATTAATGAGGTATTGCATTCTGACTGTGCCTTTCTGTAGTCATAGCCCGTTGTCATTAAACCTTTCTTCCTTGCACCTGTAAATAGCTGTGTAATCATCATACATATTGTCCACGTAAAAACAAGTGGAAGATTCTAACTAGAACACTCAGTCTCAACTTCTAGAGATTACTGCAGGTGTTCGCATCAGATAATCTGCCTATGGGGAATGCTGACTTTACCTTATCACAGTGTTCGTGACTTTAAGATTGATTCTTAGGCTAAATTAAACAAGTCTGTGCAAGTTGGCTTTCTGTGTAGAACTGAGAATAACTTATGAAATCTGTTACTTGGAGATGAGGAGATGGTTATGTTTCTCTAAGGCATAATAACTACATGAAGACTGATACGTTTGTTTCTTGTTTGTTGGGCTGTGATGGTAAATGGTCATATACTAGATATGA